GCAGATAAACTTATTTTATTCTTCAAGTTTTGTTCCAGCATTAAATTTACTCGCGAGTTTCTACAAAATTTTGGTCATATATATGTATTTTTCAAAGTAAAAATACACAAAAACTTATATCTGTATGGTATTAAAATGACAGACAATTTAAACTTATGGACTTTGTCAGCGAGTTCATTTTATGGTCTTTGCTTTTAATAAATAACGTTTTCATAAAATGAAGGGCCTGAGTTTGGTTTAGTTATTTAAAGCTACATTAAGTGCCACTGTTTATGACTTTGCTATAACATGTTCGTTATTTACCATTGGGCCCATACATAACATCAAAACAAAATGATGTCAATAATATAAACACACATACATACACATGTTTACAGTCATGGGTTAACATAAACACTGATTGAATATGAACAACAATGGTCAAAAAATTGAAATTTATTACAAATTTATCTACTAAATTTAAAAACAGTTAAATAAAAAAGAACCGAATGGGAACGTAATTTTTTTATTTTGTTAAAAACAAGAAGAAGTTGTGAATGAAAAGACATAAAATCGGCTAGAAAAAAACATAAAAATAAATTCATGGCATTTCAATATTTTTAGAAAAATACATTGAAACCAGTAATCCACTTAAGTAGAGATTACAAAGTGGAACAAAAAGTGTCGTTACAAATATTCATTCCCAGCTACTACGTGTGATGTGGGTCCTTCTATGGCATGGAACTGTCGTCCACCTATTGATTTTTCTGGCTCTTGAAACTTGTTGCTAGCTATGCGGAGCCAGTTTGTTCCTTTCACCAATAAGTGTTCCAAACTGCTTACAACTGTTGGAGGGAAAATTGAAATTTATCAGTGAATCTCTTGAATTTTATCCTTCTTAGGATCACATCGGGGTCACCAAAAATGTTTACTAATGAAAGTAAACACTTAAATGAAAGTACAACACTTAAATTATGTAATAATGTATAGATTTTGGATATTACTAAAACTAGCATTAAATGTAAAGTAAGCAATAAGTTACTTCAGCAATAACCCATACTATGTGAACCCTGCTTTAAATAAACAATAATTAATTCGTCCAGTTATATGATGACATAGAATAAAACTATTAAATAATAAAAAGAGTAAAAAATATTTGTATGCAAAAATATGTTCTTTTGAACAATCAACATAAATAATTCTTTATTTTTTAAACAAAAATATTTAACAACAAAATATAACAAATAATTGTTCTTCAAACTTAAAAATTTATGGAACATTTAGAATGATTGTGTATTGTTTTTATGATTAGTAATAAAATAAAATGTGTTTTTTTTATACTTCCACCATACTTTGGAGGGTACATTAACTTTGTCATTCCGTTTGTAACTTCTTCAAATACTAGTGTCAGACCTAATAAAGTATATATATTCTTGATCAGCGTAAAATTCTAAGTCGATTTGGCGATGTCCGTCTGTCTGTCTCTCCGTCTGTTATCTTTCGAACGAATTGAGATAGAAGACTAAAATTTTGCACACATGGTTATTCTGCCAGTAGGCCGGATATTTGGTTTTTTGATGATTTTGGCGACATTATTCACCGGAAGTTTTTCATATTTGGTATTTGAAGTTCAAAATGGAAACCACCGCTTGTGACAGAAATTTGTCTGTGCAGGTCTACGTCTTCGTATAACCCCCATATAACGGTACCTCCCTATATTCGGTATTTTGATGATTTTAGCGTCATTATTCACAGGATTAGTTTCAAATTATGTATTTAGAGTTAGTAATGGGAACTACAGTCTATGATAGAAAACTGTGTATGCAGGTCCAGGTCTTCGTATAGGCCCCAAATATCAGTACTTCCCTATATTCGGTATTTTGACGATTTTATGCACAATACTCACCGAAATTGTTTGAGATGTTGTATTTGATGTTCGTAATGGATGCTACAGCCTTTGACAGGTCTTCGTATATGCGCCATATATATTAGTACTTCTCAATATTCGGTTTTTTGACGATTTTAGGTACAATACTCAACGAAATTGTTTGAGATATTGTATTTGAAGTTCGTAGTGGATGCTACAGCCTGTGACAGAAAATTGTCTATGCAGGTCCAGATCTTCCAGCGACTGGAAGAAATAGGAAAAGTCTGATGTTCAAAGACTACGAAATATGCCGCCTACGAACGCTTATGTAACAAACCTACAAGAATGGAATACCACAACTCATGGAGGACAATGATATGAGCTAGCACTAGGCATTTGTTGCCACCCTAACGCCGTCTATTGTTTGGTAAGTAACGACTGCTACTCCATGCACTTGAGACCATTTATGTTTTTTTTTTTTGTCATCACACCTATTAGTATGAAATCAGCGTACATAGGGTGTATATTGAACTTATTTACTAGTGCGAAGTCATTGACAGCCTGTTCCACGATATCGAAAGGGAAGGAAAGCTAGCCACTCACGAAGTGGACCTGCATGGGCAGCTTTTGTCATAAACCATTACAATACTCAAATGGGAAACTTGAATAAAAAATTCGGTGAATAATGTACATCATCATCAGAATAGAGAATGTAAGGAGGTAACGTTATGTCGGGGCTATACGAAGACGTGGCCATCAAAAACAATTTTCTGTCATAGGCTGTAGTATCCATTACGAACTACAAACATCAAATTTGAAAGAATTCCCGTGATATATATGTGTATATATATATGTGTATATATATATAGTAAATAAGTTCAATATACACCCTATGTACGCTGATTTCATACTAATAGGTGTGATGACAAAAAAAAAAAACATAAATGGTCTCAAGTGCATGGAGTAGCAGTCGTTACTTACCAAACAATAGACGGCGTTAGGGTGGCAACAAATGCCTAGTGCTAGCTTATATAATTGTCCTCCATGAGTTGTGGTATTCCATTCTTGTAGGTTTGTTACATAAGCGTTCGTAGGCGGCATATTTCGTAGTCTTTGAACATCAGACTTTTCCTATTTCTTCCAGTCGCTGGAAGATCTGGACCTGCATAGACAATTTTCTGTCACAGGCTGTAGCATCCACTACGAACTTCAAATACAATATCTCAAACAATTTCGTTGAGTATTGTACCTAAAATCGTCAAAAAACCGAATATTGAGAAGTACTAATATATATGGCGCATATACGAAGACCTGTCAAAGGCTGTAGCATCCATTACGAACATCAAATACAACATCTCAAACAATTTCGGTGAGTATTGTGCATAAAATCGTCAAAATACCGAATATAGGGAAGTACTGATATTTGGGGCCTATACGAAGACCTGGACCTGCATACACAGTTTTCTATCATAGACTGTAGTTCCCATTACTAACTCTAAATACATAATTTGAAACTAATCCTGTGAATAATGACGCTAAAATCATCAAAATACCGAATATAGGGAGGTACCGTTATATGGGGTTTATACGAAGACGTAGACCTGCACAGACAATTTTCTGTCACAAGCGGTGGTTTCCATTTTGAACTTCAAATACCAAATATGAAAAACTTCCGGTGAATAATGTCGCCAAAATCATCAAAAAACCAAATATCCGGCCTACTGGCAGAATAACCATGTGTGCAAAATTTTAGTCTTCTATCTCAATTCGTTCGAAAGATAACAGACGGAGAGACAGACAGACGGACATCGCCAAATCGACTTAGAATTTTACGCTGATCAAGAATATATATACTTTATTAGGTCTGACACTAGTATTTGAAGAAGTTACAAACGGAATGACAAAGTTAATGTACCCTCCAAAGTATGGTGGAAGTATAAAAAAAAACACATTTTATTTTATTACTAATCATAAAAACAATACACAATCATTCTAAATGTTCCATAAATTTTTAAGTTTGAAGAACAATTATTTGTTATATTTTGTTGTTAAATATTTTTGTTTAAAAAATAAAGAATTATTTATGTTGATTGTTCAAAAGAACATATTTTTGCATACAAATATTTTTTACTCTTTTTATTATTTAATAGTTTTATTCTATGTCATCATATAACTGGACGAATTAATTATTGTTTATTTAAAGCAGGGTTCACATAGTATGGGTTATTGCTGAAGTAACTTATTGCTTACTTTACATTTAATGCTAGTTTTAGTAATATCCAAAATCTATACATTATTACATAATTTAAGTGTTGTACTTTCCTTTACATTAGTAAACATTTTTGGTGACCCCGATGTGATCCTAAGAAGGATAAAATTCAAGAGATTCACTGATAAATTTCAATTTTCCCTCCAACAGTTGTAAGCAGTTTGGAACACTTATTGGTGAAAGGAACAAACTGGCTCCGCATAGCTAGCAACAAGTTTCAAGAGCCAGAAAAATCAATAGGTGGACGACAGTTCCATGCCATAGAAGGACCCACATCACACGTAGTAGCTGGGAATGAATATTTGTAACGACACTTTTTGTTCCACTTTGTAATCTCTACTTAAGTGGATTACTGGTTTCAATGTATTTTTCTAAAAATATTGAAATGCCATGAATTTAATTTTATGTTTTTTTCTAGCCGATTTTATGTCTTTTCATTCACAACTTCTTCTTGTTTTTAACAAAATAAAAAAATGACGTTCCCATTCGGTTCTTTTTTATTGAACTGTTTTTAATTTTAGTAGATAAATTTGTAATAAATTTCAATTTTTTGACCATTGTTGTTCATATTCAATCAGTGTTTATGTTAACCCATGACTGTAAACATGTGTATGTATGTGTGTTTATATTATTGACATCATTTTGTTTTGATGTTATGTATGGGCCCAATGGTAAATAACGAACATGTTATAGCAAAGTCATAAACAGTGGCACTTAATGTAGCTTTAAATAACTAAACCAAACTCAGGCCCTTCATTTTATGAAAACGTTATTTATTAAAAGCAAAGACCATAAAATGAACTCGCTGACAAAGTCCATAAGTTTAAATTGTCTGTCATTTTAATACCAAGGCATAATCCGTACATGAAATGAATAGTTCGGTTGATCCCATGTCGCATACCCACATGGTTTCCTCATCATGGAATATGGTTGTGTACTTTGAGCTGAAACCATATTTACAATCATTAGACCAAACGGATTTGAAGAAGCCAGCAAAACAGCAGACATCTGTTGTTGACGCTACGGTAAATCTTTTGAAGAGAACAAAAGAGGAAGTTAATTCGTATTTTACAGATACCAAAGGAAAAATTGAGAATATAAGTGCTACGATGAATGAGAATTACTTAGCAAAACAAATTCATGAGCTTTTGCAAGAATGTGACGAGGTTCAAAAAGAGGTCATTGACGCATTAATTGATGTAAACACGAGGTGCTCTGCCTGAGAAATGTGTACTGCCAAGAATGGAATTAAAAGAGACCTTACATTTGATGACGGGTCAGGGAACTTCTGAGGGGTCCCAACTGGCACTATATAAAAATACCACTGTTCAATCGGCAGTCATTCCAGTTCTACAGAGTAATTCCGACACCATTTGAAGGAGGAGATGCGATTTTGATAGCTCTTGTGAATTCCCTGTATATTGTATACAACTTTGAATTGGATCCTTCCATTTCTTAACACATACTGAATGAGACGTTGGGTGAATAGATAATGTGAGAAGAGAATTTTCCATGGAGAGATGCAACTACAAATAATTGTGAATTTTCTTCTATGATGAGATAGAAGAAAAGCCTTATTGGATGCCATTGAAACGAAATAACAATTGGCTTTTTAAGTTGTTTTCCAGTACAACAGCTCATCTGCTATGAACCCGCAAACAACAGACGATTATGGAACTTCCAGAGCAAGAACCTCTCACGCTGGATGCAGACCCTACAACGAGGATCGGTAAAGTGACTTTGGCAGCTACGCACACAGTACATAACGAGATAACAACAGAATTCGGTTAGTTTCTTCTGAAGGATGTAAACCCGGACGAAAAATAATCTATTCGTGGACAAGTTAAAGAAAGAAAATGTGAAATTGATAGGCTTAAAGCTCTATCACATCTCATCACTCGTAGCCTTTATATTAGTAATTATAGTAATAATAATTCTAATTGTATTATTTATAAGCTTTCCTCTAATAAAGAATGCAAATCCCCCGAGGCCAGGATGTCTAAATAATCTATTCGCCGCCCGGGAGAATGTTCATAAAACTTTGAACATGATAGACAATAGGAATAAATTAGATATCTAGGCGGTCTAGGTTCAATTTTTATGTATTTTTAGTCCAACACATTAGAATATTTGTATATGTGTGCTCATGTATGATAAAATCATAAGAGGTGATAACACTTTACGCATTGATAATAAAGAATATTCTCACATAAACATGTGCTCAGAGGGAGAGTAAATGTGTGTTGAGTTAGGCATATGTATAGAATTAGAAATATCAGGTGTTGTAGTCTTAAACAGATGCATAAAACTAAACCACCTAAGATTTCTGTTGTGTCTTAGCACGTAAGTAATCTATTTTTCTCAATAAAATTAGAGAAAACAACATCGAGTAAAACGAGAGGGAACATTAAATTAATAATTTTGAATTATTAGAACCACTTAAATCTCTTATTAGAAATACAGATCTAAACAACAAGAGTCTCCGTTCCATAGTCGGGAGATCATTAAGTTTAATCTTAATGTCTAATTGATAGGTTTCACCTTTTCTACCAAATGTCCAATTTGGCCTGTCATGTTGTTGGACCCCTAATTATACCTACTCTTAATTCATCTTATCATCTCTTTTTGTAAGAATACGTCAAATTTTTATTTTACCAATTCATTTCTAGGCATTTATTATTTAAAAGGAAATTAATTTGAATAAGCATCTTCAATCATATATTTAACCCGCCAATGGTGACGCACTGGTCTGTGAGACCGGTTGTGTTAAAAAATTCGTATAACTCTTTTCACCGTTATTCGTTTTTGTTGCGATTTCGAGTAGCTGTAGCTAAGTACATCCCCCACCGTCAGTGCATGACGAAACTGCTTAGTGAACACAAGTTCGTGTATTTTTGTTCTACCCTGGTGTGTGAGACCGTGAGTCACCGTTTGTGTAAGTAAAATAATCAAGAATTATTTTTTTACTATTCGCGTTTTTATTAAGTTTATTATAATTTGTTGCTGTTTTATTGTAAATATATGTGTACTTGTGTGTTTACATGTGTATGTATATATGTGTTTTATAATATAAATTTTTTTACAGCATGTCTTATGAAAGCTTCCAGCGTCAGCTTGAAGATCTTCTACAAGGAACAATATTTGATTTTTTTTTTTTTTTTTTGGAAGGATACCAATTTTGTTCATTTTATAAAAGTTCATATTGTCGAAAGACTAATTAACATTATTTTCTTGAATTAATATGTGATTTTTTTATTTTTTCTTAATTTTAAAAAATGAATTGCTAAAACATTGTTATTTTTAGTGCTCTATTTAAAAATGTCTGTGAGCTTTAATATTGAAATAAAAGAGCTTAAAATGATTAAATATCTTTATTTTATTGTCAAAGTGGATAAATAATAAAAAAAATATTAACTATTAGTCATACGTTTCGAAAAAACTTCAGTTGAAATCCCCGGTGCATGAGACCGGCGTCACCATTAATCAAAGTCAAATTAGCGTCACCATTGGCGGGTTAAGGATGTAATTGTATCGATAATACATCGGTTAATTTTTATAGATAAAAAAATCAAAAAACTTTATACAAATCTTAGGATTTCATACATTTAATGGCTTAACATATTCAGTGGGGAATAACAAAAGAAAATATCTGAAATCAACACAAGAGTAGAAAGTAATGTTGTGCACATTTAAGTGATAATAAACTAAGAGATGATGTCGACATTTCTTTTTTTTTTATAGTATGTAATTCAAAGAGAATAATCTTTGATTGGGTCTCATTAGTATATTTTTGTCTTTTAAGGCCTTCAGTAATCTGAATGCTAGATAATATTTTTAACATTTGTGTTTGGGAGAATAGAATCGAATCTCCCTTTTCTTGACAATCGAAGAGGCAATCTATTCTATGGATCAGTCATGAAAAAAGAAAGAACAACCTTATTCTTTGGATGTAGTCTCAATTCTTGATACGGCTTGAAGGATCGTATAGAATAAAATCCTTAAAGAATTCTGTTAAATTTTAAAAATAACGAATATTGCCGTTGTATTGGGGTCTATACGACGTGGACCTACATAGGCATTGTTTGCCATTACCAAATTCAAATTCGAAACTTGAAATAAATGGTGAATAATGTAGCTAAAATCATCAAAATATCGTATATAGGGAGGTACCATTATATCGGAGCTGTGCGAAGACCTGGGCCAGCATAGACAATTTTCTGTCACAGGCTATAGCATCCATTACTAACGTCAAATACAAACAATTCCGGTGGGTATTGTACTTAAACTCGACAAAATACCGAATATAGGGAGGTACTTATATATGGGGCCTATACGAAGAACTGGACCTGCATAGATATTTTTCTGTCACAGACTGTAGTTCCCATTACGAACTATAAATACGTAATTCGGGGGCTATACGAAGACGTGGACCTGCCCAGATAATTTTCCGCCATAGACTGTACTATCCTTTTGGAACTTCAAATACCAAAGTTAAAACAATTCTGGTGAATAATGTCGCTAAAATCATCAAAATACCGAACGTCGGGAGGTACCGTTATATGGGGGCTATATGAAAACGTTGACCTACATGGCCCATTTGCGAACTTAACCTGCCTACTGGAAAAATAAACACGTGGGCAAAATTTTAGCCTTCTATCGCAATTGTTCGAAAGATAGCGTGATTACAACAGACAGACGGACAGACAGACAGATGGACATGGCTAAATCGACTTAGAATTTTACGCTGATCAAGAATATATTTAGTTGGGTCTGACGTAAGTATTTCGAGGAGTTACAAACGGAATGACAAAGTTAATATACCCTCCATAGTATGGTGGAGGGTATAAAAATAGTACAATCCCCCTCTTCGATTGTCAACTTTATTCTCGATCCGTCTCGAAGGACCAATGTTAGTGGGAACAGAGTCCAATCTCCCTCTTCGATTGCCAACTCTATTCTTTATTCGGATCCTGCTCGGAGGATTAATGTAGAAAAGGAGAAAACAAAGAACAACCTTATTCTTTGGATGTAGTTTCAATTCTGATTTTATTTCAAAAATATGTTCCTCAACTACTACTGAAACTAATCTTGCTTAGCCTAATCGCAGCCACACAATTTTAAAATATTTATTCTTTATTGCTAGATTCTTCCAGCGCCTCAACCTTACTCAAAAATATGTACAATATATTTGTACAATTAGGATGGGCTATGTCGGATTAATTTCTCTCATGCGATATAATAAACTTAAAGATTATGAATATACACTCGTTATAAAATTTCGTCAAATTAGACATACAATGTTCCTGACTATTATCATAAAATCGATATAGATATAATTTATTTACATTGATGGATTTTAAATAGAATTAAAAAGAAAGGGTTATTTTATTCCAAGTTCACGTAAGACAAATATAATGTACGAATGTATTGATTCTTATTTAGATAAATGCATTCTGTTTATGATTTCATAATATCTGACTCAATATTAAATCGTAGAGTAAGATTTCCTTTTGGAGGGTTATTACTTTTTTGAGCAGGTATTTCTTCAATCATAAATTATGATATAACACTTTGAAAAAATGTCTGGCGTAATTGGTAGCAAATATGGCCATTAGAGTTTTCGGACCAAACAGAGATGACGATTAGCGCTGGCATACGCTTTTGGAAAATACCATTTTGATTTTCGTTGATATAACGGTAATATTTATATAACGAGAATATTTATTATGGTGATGACATTAACGTCTTATGATCGCATTGTTCAGGGCTTGACCTCGGAATCAGTTTTTTTACTTCTTGGATGCGAAACTGAGCGTTGTTTGATGAGACGTAGATCAAAGATCTCTTAACGGATTTAGTGTTTCGGGTTTTTTTGTGATGCAAGTTTTCCACAACGTCCGAATCCGGTAGATGTCACAGATATAATATGGAAACCCGGAATTACCCTGTAGATAATTTTTCAGGTGGATTTTGACTTTTAAGGACAATTATGTTGATAGCAATTTCTTAAGATTGCATGGAAGGAACACAG